GAAACACGCCCCCGTGGGGAGAGGGGGGCACGGAGGTACCGGCAGCCGCAGGGAGAGCCAGGCCGAGCTCTTGACCCCCACCAAAGTAGTCTTACCCACATCCTGTCATCCCCCCCAGACCCCACCTTAGTGCGTCTGGGTGGAGTTTTTTGGGTTTGGGTGGGTTTGTTGGTTTTTTTTTTAATTTTGGGTGGGTTTGGTGTTGTTTTTTTTTCGGTTGTGGTTTTTTCTATAGGTGGAAGCAACCATAAGCAGGCCCATCGGGGCTCACCCGGCGAGGACTGGCCGTGGAAGCACCATTATTCCTCCCTCTGCCAAAGTTAAGAGCCGAGCGGCAGGAGGGGAGAGCCAGGGTCACTTCCCACACGGAAACAAACCGGGGACACAATGCTTCAGGAGGAAAAGCTGGCGTTTGGGAAGGAAAACGAGTCTCCTTCCCTCGACCAAGTGCCATCAAACTACTTCAAGTTTGAAAATATCTATGAGTGTTGGATTTATTAGAATTAGGAAAGCGACTGTGCGTTTAGCGCTGTCACCCGCCAACGGATCCTGTCCAGTTGTATCAGCTGTTTAATGAGGAAATTCACTCTTATTTGGTTTTCTTGTCAGAAATGAAAGGCCTTATGGGAAACTAACCCTTACTCTAAGACGACTGAGCAGTCGCTCGCAATTTTCTTAACCACATATCAACCTGAGAGTCAAATCCCGTGCTCGCACAAACTGGTGCCACCATCTCGTCTGTCATCTAGGTGTAAGAAGGAGCTGTATTTGATTTGCAAAAAAACCACCTTTGTGGTGGGTGATGACGTAAGGCCATTCTGGGCAGAGACATCCAAGCGCCAGAAGTAGTTTAGCCCCGTGAGCAGAGCCATTCGAGGAAACGGGCAGAGCCTGACGAGGAAGAAAAAAAAAAGAGTGTTATCGTGGGGCAAAACACCCTGCTAAAATAGATACAGGCTGCTCCGGGACTGGGATAAACAACAGCGGGCTGCAGGCTGGGGGGGACACACCAGACACACACCTCTGACCCTGCGGGGAGTTTATGGGAGGTGACTGCCGGGAGAAAGCAACTACGAGGGATTTGGAGTTGCAATTACAGCGGAATCAGGGGAGTAATTTATTTATTGACAGAATTTTATGAGAGAATGGAAAAGAACGCGGAGCCGCACGGTAACCGGCAAATACTCTGGGCGCTCTGGGAGGCGGGCACCCGCACCGGCAGCGCTTCCCAACACACCGAGCACGGAAAAAGTTAAAACCCGGCGGCGGTAGTTCCCCCCCCGCGGCCGCAATGAAGCTGCCCCCGCGACTCAATAATTCACAGGTCACCCCCCCACACCCCCCCCACCCGCGACGGGCTTCAAGGCGGAACACACCCGCGGGC